ACCTGGTTTAGTCCTGTTTTAGTCCTGGTTTAGTCGTGGTTTAGTCCAGTTATAGACCTGGTTTAGACCTGGTTTAGTCCTGGTTTAGTCGTGGTTTAGTCCAGTTATAGACCTGGTTTAGACCTGGTTTAGTCCTGGTTTAGTCGTGGTTTAGTCCAGTTATAGACCTGGTTTAGTCCTGTTTTAGTCCTGTTTTAGTCCTTGTTTAGTCATGTTTCAATCCTTTTTTAGTCCTGTTTTAGTCCTGTTTTAGTCCTAGTCCTGTTTTAGTCCTGTTTAGTCCTGTTTTAGTCCTGCTTAGTCCTGTTTTAGTCCTGTTTTAGTCCTGTTTTAGTCCTGTTTTAGTCCTTTAGTCCTTTAGTCCTTTAGTCCTTTAGTCCTGTTTTAGTCCTGCTTTAGTCCTGTTTTAGTCCTGCTTTAGTCCTGTTTTAGTCCTAGTTTAGTCCTGTTTTAGTCCTGTTTTAGTCCTGTTTTTAGTCCTGTTTTAAGTCCTGTTTTAGTCCTGTTTTAGTCCTGCTTTAAGTCCTGCTTTAGTCCTGTTTTAGTCCTGGTTTTAGTCCTGCTTTAGTCCTGTCCTTTAGTCCTGCTTTAGTCCTGCTTTAGTCCTGTTTTAGTCCTGTTTTAGTCCTGCTTTAGTCCTTTAGTTTTTAGTCCTGTTTTAGTTTAGTCCTGCTTTAGTCCTTTAGTCCTGTTTAGTCCTGTTTTAGTCCTGCTTTAGTCCTGCTTTAGTCCTGTTTTAGTCCTGCTCTAGTCCTGCTTTAGTCCTGTTTTAGTCCTGCTTTAGTCCTGTTTTAGTCCTGTTTCAGTCCTGTTTCAGTCCTGCTCTAGTCCTGTTTTAGTCCTGCTTTAGTCCTACTTTGGTCCTGCTTTAGTCCTGTTTTAGTCCTGCTTTAGTCCTGCTTTAGTCCTTTAGTCCTTTAGTCCTGTTTTTAGTCCTGTTTTTAGTCCTGTTTTAGTCCTGCTTTAGTCCTTTTTGTTTTAGTCCTGCTTTAGTCCTGCTTTAGTCCTTTAGTCCTTTTAGTCCTGCTTTAGTCCTAGTCCTTTAGTCCTGTTTTAGTCCTGTTTTAGTCCTGGTTTAGTCCTGGTTTAGTCCTGTTTTAGTCCTGGTTTTAGTCCTGTTTAGTCCTGTTTTAGTCCTAGTTTTTAGTCCTGTTTTAGTCCTCTTTAGTCCTGTTTTAGTCCTGTTTTAGTCCTGGTTTTAGTCCTGGTTTAGTCCTGTTTTAGTCCTGCTCTTATCCTGTTTTAGTCCTGTTTTAGTCCTGGTTTAGTCCTGGTTTAGTCCTGCTCTTATCCTGTTTTAGTCCTGTTTTAGTCCTGTTTTTAGTCCTGTTTTAGTCCCTGGTTTTAGTCCTGGTTTAGTCCTGTTTTAGTCCTGCTCTTATCCTGGTTTTAGTCCTGTTTTAGTCCTGTTTTAGTCCTGGTTTAGTCCTGTTTTAGTCCTGCTTTAGTCCTGTTTTAGTCCTGCTCTAATCCTGCTTTAGTCCTGTTTTAGTCCTGTTTTAGTCCTGTTTTAGTCCTGGTTTAGTCCTGGTTTAGTCCTGGTAAATAAAGCCTGTGAAGTGATGACAGTCGAGTCACGTGTGTGAATTTGTATTTGTACTGAAAAAAGCTCAATCGTTTCATTTCATGATTTTAATTCTTGACGTCGTAACTTTTCAATTTGTAAACTGATGGATAAAATACAAACAACACATTTTGTCTACAACTGGACTCATTCGAGACTTTACGAATATTTATTTTATGCTCAACTACAGACAAATATGCACAGATTTCTCTCCTATGCACATGAATATTTCACTTTCTTACTATTGCCTATTCACTCCTCACTTGGCGTCTTTGTTTGTTGAGACTTTTAAACACAACCCTGGATTCGAACAGTGAGCTCAGATTTGGATTGGATTTGGATCATTTCAACCCTGGAAAAGGAACTTGTTAACTTGAAAACTAAAACTAAAAACTGCATGACGTCTCAAGGAGGAACAGAGCATTTTGAGGTTAATAAAGAGTTACTCAAACATGTGCAGTGTTGGGAAGGTGACTTTTAAAATGTAATCCCCTACAGATTACAGATTACATACCCCAAAATGTAGTTTGTAACGTAATCCATTAAATTACTTAAAGTGAGTCATGTAATCTGAATACTTTGGATTACTTGATTTGCTGTAGAGAAGCAAAAGACGAGGATACTTAAATGTATTAAAAATATTATTGATAGAAGAGGAGGAGGCACAGTCCTCGCAGCATGGTTTAGTCCTGGTTTAGTCCTGGTTTAGATCTAGTTTAGACCTGGTTTTAGTCCTGGTTTAGATCTAGTTTAGACCTGGTTTTAGTCCTGGTTTAGATCTAGTTTAAACCTGGTTTTAGTCCTGGTTTAGATCTAGTTTAGACCTGGTTTTAGTCCTGGTTTAGTCCTGGTTTAGACCTGGTTTAGCTCTAGTTTAGACCTGGTTTTAGTCCTGGTTTAGATCTAGTTTAGACCTGGTTTTAGTCCTGGTTTAGATCTAGTTTAGACCTGGTTTTAGTCCTGGTTTAGATCTAGTTTAGACCTGGTTTTAGTCCTGGTTTAGATCTAGTTTAGACCTGGTTTTAGTCCTGGTTTAGTCCTGGTTTAGATCTAGTTTAGACCTGGTTTTAGTCCTGGTTTAGATCTAGTTTAGACCTGGTTTTAGTCCTGGTGTAGATCTAGTTTAGACCTGGTTTTAGTCCTGGTTTAGTCCTGGTTTAGACCTGGTTTAGCTCTAGTTTAGACCTGGTTTTAGTCCTGGTTTAGATCTAGTTTAGACCTGGTTTTAGTCCTGATTTAGATCTAGTTTAGACCTGGTTTTAGTCCTGGTTTAGATCTAGTTTAGACCTGGTTTTAGTCCTGGTTTAGTCCTGGTTTAGACCTGGTTTAGCTCTAGTTTAGACCTGGTTTTAGTCCTGGTTTAGATCTAGTTTAGACCTGGTTTTAGTCCTGGTTTAGCTCTAGTTTAGACCTGGTTTTAGTCCTGGTTTTAGTCCTGGTTTAGTCCTGGTTTAGTCCTGGTTTAGTCCTGGTTTAGACCTGGTTTTAGTCCTAGTTTAGACCTGGTTTTAGTCCTGGTTTAGACCTGGTTTTAGTCCTAGTTTAGACCTGGTTTTAGTCCTGGTTTAGACCTGATTTTAGTCCTGGTTTAGACCTGGTTTTAGTCCTGGTTTAGTCCTGGTTTAGACCTGGTTTAGTTTCCAGCAATGAGTGGAATTACCGAAAAAAATAAAATAAATAAAATAAAATAAAAATAATGTGAAAACAGGAAAATATCGCTGTGTAATCCATTTATTTCAACAAAGTAACTGTAATCCAATTACCACTCACTGAAACAGTAACTGTAACTGAATACAGTTACTCATAATTTGTACTCTGATTACATAACTCTGGTACATGTAATCTGTTACTCCCAACACTGAACATGTGTGAATGAAACAAAACATATTTTAACATGGCTTAAAGCTCTCAAAAGTCAATTTAACATAATATAGAACCTAAAAAGTACAATTTTAGTCTTGTTCTCTCAAATGTTAATAACCCTGGATATGTAAAAGCTAAGCTCTGCTTAGAATGACGCATCGGAAAAAAAAAGTGGTTCAATTTGAATCTTTTAATATGTGTGTTTTATCATGGGCACGGGTGGGTCCCAGGTGGAATGTTAAAGGTTGTATAGAGGATTTTTTAAGGGAAAAGAAATACAGCGACAGTCCTTTTTCAAATGTCGTGCATGCGTGACACCACCTTCCTCCTCCACAGCTCCTCAGTAGAAACACCTCCTCCCGCCTCTTTACTCTAGAAATCACGTTTGTTTACAGCCAGTGTGTGTTCAGAATTACTGTTGAAGTGACCCGTCTAGAAATAATTTAGCGACCGACGCGTCAGTTTTTAGACCCTTCATTTGCTTCGTTTGCGTAAACGCTGGACGAGATCTCCAAGAATCACCTCGGTTTGGCTTTGCTCCTTTTCCCCTTCTCTTCTTCTTTCAGCGACCTCAAAAACGGACTTTCTTTTGCGGTGAACCGGTCGTGGATTCTCGTCTGCCATCGCAACAAACTTTGTGCGAACTGCGAGGAAGCGACAGTTTGAAAAACCTGCTAAGAACCGCCGCATAAACCACGAAATCCCCGCGCGCCGACGAGTCAGTTACACTAGAAACGTAAGAAGTTTGATTGACGATCTAACAGCCAATAGAAAATGAGGGAGCCTCGTTTTCTATTGGCTGATGTTTATCTGGCGTCACTACGTCCACAGTTGATAGATTTTCATTCTTTTTTTTTTGGTCATCATAATTACAAAGCTGCTGCGTCTCTGTAATGATGTTTTAAACTTTCACTGACAATTTGACAAAAAAAAAATTCCTCCATACAACCTTTAACGGCTTCTTGTCGTCTGCATTGAAATGGAGCAAAGGATCATGGTCTATGTAGTTCCCTCTGTCGTTTTTTTAGTTATTGCTGCACCGTAACTCTTAATTTAAGCAAAGAAACTCGTAATCCGATATATTGTGACGGTCCACGATATTATTGGGAGAACTCTGACCATTCGATATCACGATATTTCGGACTCTGGCTTGCGCCCCCTACTGTCTGACCCCTTTATTCTATGTGTGTGATAAAGTGTACTCTCCCTCGTCTCGGTTTATGCCCCTTGGACCTGGTTTTGCGGATCTCGATGGCTTCTCTGACATTGACCCTGACATTGTTCCAGTCGGATTTGGCCGGTTTCAGAATTTCACCGCTCTGCTTGTTCTTCCGTTGCTCGTTTATTGTTGGACGGACGTGGGATGCAGACCTGGAGAAGGTGTATGAACAGTAGGGGGCGTAAGCTTCCTCTACTGTCCGACAAAACCAAATAAATCATCATATAAGACACATCACTACACCAGAACGTGACATGTCTGATAAAATAAGTTTAAAACAGAATGAACCTTTCCCAAAGCTTCAGAAGTACAGTCTTTAGTGACACGGAGAGAACAGAGCGCAAACACACTCACCTGGAGCTGGACTCTTGACCATGGTTTTGATGACCGCAGAGTCGTGGCTGTTCACCGCAGGCTCAGCAACGTCCTCACTGTGGAGACACAACAAACGGTAACTAAGGGGCCATTTTTATCACAATGTAAATAAAGCAGGACAAAAAAATACATGTCAACATACCAATCTTTAGAACAACAGATGAACTACTGTAAATAAAGGGCAATTTTCCAACATTTTTTAATCACGATTTGTAATTTCATGTGTTAATATTAGGATTCTGTTCACATCTGAAACATCCTGGAGCATTACAATTTGAGAGAAGACTTAAATATGAACTTCTAAACTAATATAAGAATCCCTGCATTTCAGAACGTGACTGTAAAGATCAAAACTACAGGTCAGCAGCTTTCAGACATAAGGATTATATATCTATATGATATTTATTCATATTTGTTTATTTGTTGTTCATCATCTGTTAAGTTTACTTAAAGGTTGTATGGAGGATTTTTTTTTGTTTCAAATTGTCAATGATAGATTATAGAGGTGCAGTAGCCTTGTAATTATGATGACCAAAAAAAAGAGAATAAAAATTCATCAACTCTGGACGTGGTGGGGCTAAACATTTGCCAATAGATAACGACACTGCCTCGTTATCTGTGAGCTGACAGGCTGTCAATCAATCTCCCTACGTTTCTAGCGTAACTGACTTGTCTGCGCCGCCGGTACGTGGTTTACGTACGACTGTCACGCAGTCCACAGACGCAAGACGCACAGACGCTGTTTACTCCACCAACACAACAGTTCTTAGCGGCTTTTTTTGACATATATCTTCCTCACAGTTCGCACAAAGTTTGTTGCAATGGCGACAAGAATCCAGGAGCAGTTCGCCGCAAAAGAAAGTCCGTTTTTGAGGTCGCTGAAAGAAGAAGACAAGGGGAAAAGCAGCGAAGCCAAACTAAGGTGATTCTTGAAGATTCATTCCAGCGATGGTGCGACTGAAGCAGACGCAGGGTCTAAAGACTGAAGCACTGGTCCACAAATTACTCCTGGACAGGAAACTTCTGCTTATTATGAAAACGTACTTTATTTCCAAGAGCGAGACAAACGTTTTTCAGGACACGAAAGCGATATCCTATGTCTGAAAACGTAATTTTCAAGGCAAAGAAAGAGTCCGCTTGCTGCTGCGTGTTGTAGCTAGTTCATTCGCACTGAATCTCCGCGCAACCTTCTCTGCACCCCTTTCCTGCTCCTCTCCCCGCTGCCCGATCCGCTCTTCCCCCTGCTCCTCACTTCTCCAGGCACGGAATCTCCGCGCACCGCTCCCCTCTCCTCTCTCCTCTCCTCTCTCCCTGCTCCGCTCTTCTCCCTGCTCCTCACTTCTCGTCCGCGAACGAAATGTCCACACACCCGCTCCCCCCGCTCCTCACTTCTCTGTCTTGCCTAACCAACACTGTAGTTAGTTGTTTACAAGTCATGTGCAGCACCGGCTGTAAACAAACCTGTTTCTGGCGTAAGGAGGAGGAGGGAGGAGGTGTTTCTACGTAGGAGCTGTAGGGGAGGGGGGGTGGTTTCACGCAATGCGCAACATTTGAAAAAGGACAAACAGTCGCTGGATTTCTCCTTCCTTGGAAAATCCTCTATACAACCTTTAAAGTTTGCTCTGTTACTGAAGGAGTAATGTGCATGTTTTCACTTTGTCAATAGATCAAATCAATTCAATATTATAATAATATTCAAAACTTAAATAAATATTATGAAAAATCAAAGTCAGACTCTCATTTGTAACATACTGATAGTTGTTAGAGTCTTAACCGTCTCTTTAATCACGACCATGATCCACATGTGGCCCTTGGTGAAATGAGTTTGACACTCGTGTCACAGAGCAGTGGTTTTCAACAGGTGAGGCCAAAGAGCCACTGGGGAGACGCGACACACGTGGATGAAACCAGGACTGATCCCAGGACTGAACCAGAAGGACTAAACCAGGACTAAACCAGAACTGAAGTGTCTGAGACCATCAGGTGTCCGCAGACGAAAGGACCAGCGCAGCTCCACACTCCACAGGACGAACCGCAGCCGTCGCCCAGTTGGGTTTTGTGGACTCCCTGCCCCACAGGCTCGGGGTTCTCCCTCTTGGTCTCAAGTCCAAGATTAGTCCTGGTTTTATCCTGGTTTAGACCTGGTATAGTTCTACTTTAGTCCTAGTTTAGTCCTGGGGCAGTCCTGGTTTAGATCTGGTTTAGACCTGGTTTAGACCTGGTTTAGTCCTGGTTTAGTCCTGGTCCAGACCTGGTTTAGATCTGGTTTAGTCCTGGTTTGGTCCTAGTTTAGTCCTGGTTTAGTCCTAGTTTAGTCCTGGTTTAGTCTTCGTTTAGTCCTAGTTTAGTTCTGGTTTAGTTCTGGTTTAGACCTGGTTTAGATCTGGTTTAGTCCTAGTTTAGTCCTGGTTTAGACCTGGTTTAGTCCTAGTTTAGTCCTGGTTTAGTCCTGGTTTAGTCCTGGTTTAGACCTGGTTTAGTCCTCCTGGTTTAGTCCTGGTTTAATTAGTCCTGGTTTTAGACCTGGTTTAGACCTGGTTTAGTCCTGGTTTAGTCCTGGTTTAGTCCTGGTTTAGTCCTGGTTTAGTCCTGGTTTAGTCCTGGTTTAGTCCTGGTTTAATCCTGGTTTAGACCTGGTTTAGACCTGGTTTAGTCCTGGTTTAATCCTGGTTTAGACCTGGTTTAGTCCTGGTTTAGTCCTAGTTTAGTCCTGGTTTAGTCTTAGTTTAGTCCTAGTTTAGTTCTGGTTTAGACCTGGTTTAGATCTGGTTTAGTCCTAGTTTAGTTTAGCCCTGGTCCAGACCTGGTCCAGACCTGGTTTAGACCTGGTTTAGTTTAGTCCTGGTTTAGTCCTGGTTTAGTCCTAGTTTAGACCTGGTTTAGTTTCCCTGGTTTAGTTAGTCCTGGTTTAGACCTGGTTTAGTCCTAGTTTAGTCCTGTTTAGTCCTAGTCTAGTTTAGTTTACCTGGTTTAGTCCTAGTTTAGACCTGGTTTTTAGACCTGGTTTAGTCCTGGTTTAGTCCTAGTTTAGACCTGGTTTAGTCCTGGTTTAGACCTGGTTTAGACTGTTTAGTTTAGTTTAGTTTTACCTGGTTTAGTCCTGGTTTAGTCCTAGTTTAGACCTGGTTTAGTTTAGTCCTAGAGTTTAGTTTCCTGGTTTAGATCCTGGTTTAGTCCTTTTAGTTCCTGGTTTAGTTTTAGTTTAGTCCTAGTTTAGTTCTGGTTTAGTCCGTTTAGTTTAGTTTAGTCCTGGTTTAGTCCTGGTTTAGACCTGGTTTAGTCCTAGTTCCTAGTTTAGTCCTGGTTTAGTCCGTTTACCTGGTTTAGATCCTGGTTTAGTCCTTTAGTTTACCTGGTCCTGGTTTAGTCCTAGTTTACCTGTTTAGATCCTGGTTTAGTCCTGGTTTAGTTTTAGTCCTTTAGTTTAGTCCTGGTTTAGACCTGGTTTAGTTTAGTCCTGGTTTAGTCCTGGTTTACCTGGTTTAGACCCTAGGTTTAGTCCTGGTTTAGACCCTGGTTTAGTCCTAGTTTAGTCCTGGTTTAGACCTGGTTTAGTCCTAGTTTAGACCTGGTTTAGACCTGGTTTAGTCCTGGTTTAATCCTAATTTAGTCCTAGTTTAGACCTGGTTTACCTGGTTTCCTGGTTTAATCCTAATTTAGTCCTAGTTTAGACCTGGTTTAGTCCTGGTTTAGCCCTGGTCCAGTCCTGATTTAGTCTTAGTTTAGTCCTAGTTTAGACCTGGTTTAGTCCTGGTTTAATCCTAATTTAGTCCTAGTTTAGACCTGGTTTAGACCTGGTTTAGTCCTGGTCCAGACCTGGTTTAGATCTGGTTTAGCACTGAGATAAAAAACCACCAAACGGAGCTTTTCTTCAAACTCTTTCGCGTCGCGGTGTTGACTTCTGGCCGTGTTGTGCGTCCAGGCCATGAGGAGGCGCTGTGTCCGTCTCTTTCTCTCGCGGTCGAACTGTTCACGTCTTATCTTCACACAAACTGGTCTGAGGAGGGTTTGTCTGTCTCCACCGTGTTATTACTTTGTCTGGAATATTCCACAGGCAGCGCTGGGGAGTAACAGATTACATGTACCAGAGTTATGTAATCAGAGTACAAATGATGAGTAACTGTATTCAGTTACAGTTACTGTTTCAGTGAGTGGGAATTGGATTACAGTTACTTTGTTGAAATAAATGGATTACACCGCAGGATTTTCCTGTTTTCACATTTTGGGCTAAACCAGGACTAAAACCAGGTCAAAACCAGACTAAAACCAGGTCAAAACCAGGACTAAAACCAGGACTAAACCAGGTCAAAACCAGGACTGAACCAGGACTGAAACCAGGACTAAACCAGGACTAAACCAGGACTGAACCAGGACTGAACCAGGACTAAACCAGGACTTAAACCAGGACTAAAACCCAGGACTCTAAACCAGGACTAAAACCAGGTCTAAACCAGGACTAAAACCAGACTAAACTAGGACTAAAACAAAACCAGGACTAAACCAGGACTAAAGGACTAGGTCTAAACCAGGACTGAACCAGAACTGAACCAGGTTTAAACCAGGACTAAAACCAGGTCTAAACCAGGACTAAACTAGGACTAAAACAATGACTAAACCAGGACTAAACCAGGACTAAAACCAGGACTAAAACCATGACTAAAACCAGGACTAAACCAGGACTAAAACCAGGTCTAAACCAGGTCTAAACCAAGACTAAAACCAGGACTAAAACAATGACTAAACTAGGACTAAAACAATGACTAAACCAGGACTAAACCAGGACTAAAACCAGGTCTAAAACCAAGACTAAAACCAGGACTAAAACAATGACTAAACTAGGACTAAAACAATGACTAAACCAGGTCTAAACTCCAATTTGAAGAGAACAAACATTCATTTTCAGGATGTGTTTGCTACATTCATGTCATTTTAAAAAACATGACAATATCAAGTAATCCAAAGTATTCAGATTATGTTCACTCACTTTCAGTAATTTAATGGATTATGTTACAAACTACATTTTGAGGTATGTAATCTGTAATCTGTAGGGGAATAC